CCCAACTACATGTACAAAAATTTTAATTGAATGGCTCTTTAGATGCTTTAGTAAAATTAATTCCTTTTTGCCCGTCAAGTTTATTCTCTATGGCAACTTCTGTCAAACCTTTTTAAACTTTATATATATATTTCGTTTAATAAAAATTCTCCTCACCTCTAAAATAAAGTCTGCTATGACATGAGGGGAAACTAAAAAAAAACAGACACCGAAAGCTTTAAGCTTTTGTCGAAGAAAATTCAACTCCATGAAAAAAGCCTGTATAGTAGAAAAACGTGAGTCGAGCCGCCAGTAGAAAAGCCTTTAATCTCGACGTGGACAAAAGTAAACTCTAACCGTATTGAATATTGTATTTAGTAGTAAAAGCAAAACTCAACTTGAACTCTATAATTAATTAGGCTACCTTCGCTTATTTACAAACGGCAGCAGAAACCACGAGCAACTAATTTCAAAGCCCACAGTCATATATTTTTAAATTTGTAGGTAAAAGGGTTTGCGCAGCCGTGTTTCATACGAACTTTTTTACTTTCGAAATATTACTTTTATTTCCGTTAATATTATTATAATTAAATAATTCACATAAAAGACACTGAAGCATAATATCAAAAATCATAAAAATTTTAAGTTTATAACAAAAAATTTACTTCAAAGTTAAATTAAAAATTAATTTTAAATATTATTTAAAATTAAAAAAGGTACTAAAGTTAAATTAAAAATCATAGTTAATAATTTATATAAAAATCTTTTTTAAAAAAATTTATAAAATAATAAATATCTGTTTATCCCAAAAAATTAAAAAAAAAGAAATTCGAACTAAAAAATTCTAAAAATAAATATTACTCTTCAAACAATTTTCACAAACGATTATTTTTTTAAAAAAAAATTTATTTATAATAATATGATAAGTACTGATCAATATTTATAAATTTCGTTTTAAAAATTAAAAAAAAAATTTAAAACGTAAATGTATATATTAATATAAAATATTAATTAATGTACGATTAAAATAAATTTAACTACAAACATTTTTAGATCAACTTTACAAAATATAAATGAGTGTAAATGTGAATCCTTTTTTTTTACAAAATAAAAAACTAATAAACTTAGAAGTTTTTTAATAAAATATATATATTTTTTTTTAAATTCGTATAAAAATTTAATATATAAATTTAAGAATATTATATTAGAGATTTTACAAATAAAAAATCTAATTTAATTTAGTAATATTTTACTATAGTAAACTTTAAAAAATTAAAAAAAATTATATACATTTTTAATAATAAAAGACAATTCTGAAACTTAAAAGAAAAAAGTTTTTAAAAAATTAATTTTTCTAATTTCGTAGAAAAAAGTAATCAATAAAAATATTAACGAGCTCCTGGAGTGTCACGTCTTTTGCACTTTTAAACTCATCTTTTCGACTCCTACTGGCGATATCTAACATCCGTAATATACCTAAACATTCAGCCGATATAACTACTACTTTCCTACAGTTACAAAAACTCGTGTCCATATTCCACAAGAATTATACTAGTCATAAACGAGCTGCATCTTAAGCAAAGAGGTCTACTAGAGGGTACAACCATAAGAATAAGAAATGTGTTCTGAGATTAACGTTGTTCAATAAGGCTCAAAAGATTCTGTAAGACATTTTCTTTACAAAGATTAATCAAGATTAAAAAGGTACGGATTTAATTGCGTTTTAACTCTACAAAATTCGATACATATGTTGGTATATGTGTAGGCGACCTGTCTTATACTTAGATCATAAATCCTTTTTTAAAAAAAATGAAAGCAGTCTACAATATAAAAGTATGCAAGAAACTTAAGAAATCTTAAGGATAAACATAATTAACTATAAAGAGGATTGAGTCTCAAATCTAACCGAAATTACTGAACAACTTTCATCTAAATTTCATATTAGTTTTCAAACGAAACTGAAAGTGCCAATTCCTACCAGCGTTAAACTAAAACTCTCTTAGGAAGACACTTTAAGACGTGTACTACATCCTAATTGGATATACATCGTGGACAGTTCAACGTTGGGGAGGCTTTAGCATCACAGTAATGGAGAGCACATGAAGTGCACCCAGGCAGGACATTACAATATCTATATTACATCTAAAAGAACATACTAACCTCAGCTGAGATTTATCCACGTAAAATATTATTAGAATGCTCCTGTGGATGCCTCGTGGGCTGACATTTACGACTTTAAAATGATAAAAGTTTATAATAAACTCTATGTCCCTAATACTTGTTTTCGTCCACCTCCGGCACCGCCTGAAGATGTTCTTAGGCAACACACGGTCTAACTTAGAACGAACTGTCAACCAGAACAAACCATTTAAGCTTAACCTCATACAGAATTGAAGATAAAAAAAAAATGTTGAGGAAATTATGGGATCTTGGTATTTTTTTATTACAGTCGGATTATAATCAGGAACCGGCTATAATGATTGAAGTCCAGTGCCAAATATGGTGCGTGACTTATTTAAATAATGAATTCTTGTATGAACGCACATACATTGACTTAAAGGTCTTATTACGCAAAGTTCACCATGTTAGGGATTTCTATTACATATTATTTTGTAATAATATTGATGGGAAAATGATTATTAACGATCTTGATAACACCCATCTTGCTTATTTTTTTGGGCTTGCAAAAATATATAAATTAGGATTCCCTTGGGACGCTCTGGAGGTAAGGCCTATAGGTCTTAGACACAAGATCCCTTCTGTAATTTATCGTATTGGCTTCATCATAAGCTCTGATTCATAGCTAAAAATGTGAAATCGTTCTTCCACGATTCTGAAGTTAATGGAAGAGTAGAATAGCACCACCTTGGGAGGGGATTAATAGACTTTTACATTAGACATGAAGGCGCTATATCAATCCAACTTTGAACCGTCAAAAGAGTCTTGAGGTAGTATGCTAATATATATCTACCACATAACATACACAATGTTGTGCTGGAATGTTTTAAACTCATTTTGAAAAGAAACTTTTATGAGTTTGATCAAGTAATTTGTAAGCAAAAAATTGGAGTTCTTGTAGGGAATCCTATAGCCTTTCTTGTCTAGCTACACTTTATGTCGCCTATTTCGAGGACAAAACGACTAAGCAATAGTATGCAAGCCCACCTTATATTCTACCAAAGATATATGGATAAATGACTAGTGATACTTTGCAACCAGGGTAAGCCCATTTTAAAAATCTTGGAGCTTTTGAACAAGGCTCCCGGCTTTTGAAGGTTAACCTAGGGTCTTTCGCACCAAATTCAACATTTTTATACTTGAACTTATTCTTTTCTGACAGAAAAGTCTGTTGCAGGACAAATAATAAGCATTTAAACTTATATTAATATCTTGCTATACAAACGGCACGCCTTTCTGGCATACTTAAGGTTTAATCTCCGGACTAGTAAGAAAATATTTCTAGTAAAACAAAGGCACCTACTTTTTTTAAGTTATTAATAGCTTTATCGACGGAACTGTAATAAGGATTACGCAGGAAAGATGATAACTCAAAATTATCTTGGAGTACTTTTACTAGATCGAACAAAATGCCCTTAATGTTAAAATTATAAAGAAGAAAATATTCTTTAATTCCCCTATGATCCGAATGGATTGCCTAGACGGGAACTTAGATAAGCAATCCAAAAGGAAGAGATTGAGGCCGCATTAGCGAACAGGTTACTAATTTGTATCTCTTACTTACGACCTCAAAGTATTGATGACAGTTTATTAATAAATAGGTTTTCGTTAACCAACGATACACCTCAAACTATCTCCTTTACGCTCCCAAAACTTTGACCTCGAACAAAAAACTCTTTCATTTTTCATTTAGGGCCCTAAGATTCTTTAGATAATTTTCATTGTTAGTGTTTCTTAAAACACCATAACAGATAACCGCCTTTACCAAAAATTATATTAACACATAATAAGCGATCATTGTTATCATTGTAAAAACGTTTGGATATTTTTGTTATATATGAGTGATGCATAGCATAACATGAACAAAAATGATACCCCTATAGGTTAAGTGAACATATGACAAGTCAAATACTGTTTATTAAAATGTAGTGAATAACTTTAACACAGTCTTTGTGACGCTATCAAAGTTCCTAAAGAAAAAGCTGATAGCCATCCTGACCTTTTAAAACCAACACCCTGAATTTCTTGCGAAACCGCAAGTATCCTAAAGCTCTGAGTAAGTGAAGAATCGACAAGTAGAGAAAACTTGTGGACAATGATATTTCCCGAACCCCTTAAGGTTAAAATCTAAACTCTTATATAAGACCAAATAGGAAGTTTCGTGCCAAGGCTTTATTATAGGCATAGTCCGCTGGGGGAAGTCTCTCCCACCGAAAGGAATGTGCGCACTAAAATTTTCATAAATGCCTTCGGCATCGACTGTGTTTTCACTTGCCTCACTTTTTACTAAAAAAACAAGCGAATTTGCTCTCAGTAATTTTTAACCCTTTCTTTCTCTGCATTCTGTAGGAGTTCCCCCTCTTGTAGTATGTTTAATAATTTTTGCATAGACGCAAACCAAAGCTCAGTAAAATAGAAGTTTTACCCTATATTGATCTTACAACTTTGATAACTTCAAGAACTAATATATTATATACAGATTGAGTGTATACGCTCAATAATATAACAAAGAAAATAAAATAGAGTTAATTAAAATAAAAAGAGCTGTATAATTTATATGATTGCTCTGGGCAGCCTGAGTATAGCACAACGCTTACCACATAAACACTGACTAACACGACAACCCCAAAAAGAAACAAGAGTACGGCGCTCGTGTATCCCTTGACAGTAATTAGGCTTACGCCCTCAGATAGCAACCCTTAATTACATAATATAACACCTCCAAAAATGGTTTGCATGGAAGAGAAAAACCCCGTTACCTTCCAGGAGTTGGCGAGGGTTTTCATAAGATTATGTAATGACTTGCTAAAGCTTTACACTCCAAACGTATTGTAAAAGTTTGTCTAAATTATTGTTTTAAGGTTATGATAGAATCATCAAATGGTTTTTCTTTTAATTTAGTTCACAAGAGTGCTGTTATAAGAGATTACGTGGCAAAGCCTAGGCTAAGTAAGAGTGAACGTACAATAACTACAATAATCTTTGCTATAAACTAATTTAAACTTATTTTTCGTTATTATTAACTTTTTCACTATAAGGTTATAAGACTGTACGCGCAGTCAATGGCCCGTTAGTAATTCTGGAGAGGGTTAAGGTATATTAATTGTATTGGTCGTATATTTATGCTGTTAGGTAGATAACTTTCGCCGAATTTATAATTTTAGTTACTAAATTATAAGCAACTACACTATTATATACCTTAGCTAGCAAAATATTCAGAAATAGTAACCTTGACTCTTCCTGATGGCACAAGTAGATCGGGACAGATTTTGGAAATTCAAGGGAATAAAGCCGTTGTTCAGGTGCGTTGGAGTCTTATAGTCCTTTACCGTTAGTTACTAAGGCGTAGTAGTAAAAAAAGTTACTTAAGGTGTTTGAGGGAACCTCTGGAGTGGATGCTCATCTTACCTCTGTTGACTTTTCAGGCGACATAATGAGGCATTTAGCCAAAATATTATTATAGACTGCTTTCTGACAAACTTTTAATATTCTCTTACCACTATAAAAACTTTTTAGTAGAGAACAATATGTAAGCCATTAAAACTCATTTTATATTAATAACTTTTTATATTTCTTACCTTATCTATATTATCTCTAACTCGTTTATAATATATAAGTTTTTTATACCACAAAAACTTTTGTATGTATATACTTTAAAGACTTGCTTTAAGTAGTACTTGGGTGACTTTATGGGATTGACTTTATTTTTATGCAAGTCCTATTATCGTACATTTCAATTATGCATATATTTATAAACTTTTCTTCTTTATTAGGGCGCCTGTTTCCGAAGATATGCTCGGCCGCGTGTTCAACGGCTCTGGCAAACCGGTAGACGGTGGGCCAAACACTCTAGCGGAAGATTACTTGGACATCCAGGGTCCCTACTTTCCTACTGTTTTTAATAATATAATCTGAAGGGTTGTTTATCTCTCTAAATAAAGTACTATTTACTAAAAGAGGCTTTACTTTTGTAGCTTTCCTAGTTAATAATATATTATAAAATAGTTCCTAATTTTATTTTTGGATCTAAATATTGCTATATATTCAGTGTTATCACTTTTTTCCCCCATAGTTTTAGCAATAGTTATATTTTAAAGAATAAGCTCAGTTTTTCTTTGGCTTTAGTAATTTGTGCGTCATGAACAGCAAACTATTCTTACTTATAAAATAGTTGCGCCCGTTATTCTGCTTTTTAATTGGGCCTTTTTTTTGTAAGCTTACTACAATCTTTTTTTCTTACTTTCGTTTTTGTTGGTTAACTTATTTATTTGCGCTTTAAATATATATGCCAAGTTCTTATTCCCGAGACTTCAAAATGAAAATGTACTAATTTTTATAAAATTGTTGAATTTGTTTCTTTTTGCTAGTTATAGTAAATATCGTGGATACCAAATTTGAAAAGATTAAAATTTGCCTTCGCGCAACGTTTAAATATTATTTAAATTAAACTATATAATGAAAATTTAAGTTTTTTATTTATTTATCAACTTATCAGATTATGGTGACATTTTTGCTTTTTTCCCAATAGATTGCTTTGATTTATTATTAATAACTACCCTTTAAAGTCCTTCTTTTCTTTTTTTATTACTAGTAGTGGTAGCTTTTATAGTTAATTTCTTGTTACCTATGGCCTTCCCTTGACGGACTGTGAAAAAAATATATATTAGAGCTACTTTACAAATATTTCCTACCATTTTCTAATAGTCTCTTAAGTTTATTGAATAACTTTTCAATACCCATTAGTGGATATAATAAAAAATTTTTATTTATTTTTTCAAACGTGTAAATTCAGGCCAACCAATAAATCCTTTTGCACGGGAATATCCCGAAGAAATGATACAAACCGGCATATCCACCATCGACACCATGAATTCCGTGGCACGTGGTACTCTGGACTTTTCGTTGACCAACAGATTTGCACAATGATTTATATTTTCTTCCTCTGCTTTGCGTATGGTTTTATTTACTTGTTCTTTTTGCTGAAGTAACATATAATACCTTATTCGGGACCCAGCAAATATATGAATAAAATAAGCACAATTCTAACTAGTTTTACTCTCCTTTATATATTTTAAAATAAGAACTACTGATAGTGCCTCTAGTTTCTTCTGTATAAAAATATTAACAGCCGATTTTTTTAATTTTTCGTAAATACTATTTTCGCAGCCCATAAAAAGCAATAGTAATAGCTCTTCTTTGTATATGCAATAGAGAGTTTTTTAGTTAATAATTTGTAACTAATATTTGCTAAACACTTTTTTCATCTAAGCTTCTTTGGAGTTTATTTATTTCAGCTTCTCAGCAAGGTCATTTCTTTTTTTATTTTATTATGGCACAGCAATAATCTATTTATTCTTTTGGTTACTCTTTTATATAATTTAAGTCAGTAAAGACTTTATAGATTTCTACACATTATTTCATTAAGGTACTACTAAATAAAGTTCATTTTAGTAAATAATGTTCTAATTTTTGCGGCAGGTCAAAAAATTCCGATTTTTTCAGGTTCTGGTCTGCCTCATAACAAAGTACTTTTTACATTTTTCTATGTGTAAGTATCCTCTCATTGGCTCTTTATATGCTGTTGGAAGGTTTGCTTTGTTGGATTTATTCTGTGTACTTCTGACCTGTTCATGTCGTTCCATTCACTCTAAATTTTGATCAATATCTTTATGAAGCTCTTGAATATATTATCTTATTGTTATTAGATAGCAGCGCAAATATGTAGACAAGCGGCATTGGTCAAAAAAAGTATATATTTTTCTTATCGTTTTACTGAGATTTCTAATTGATGTTCTTTAGAGCACTCAAAGTCCATTATGGACAACCACGAGGACAACTTTGCCATTGTTTTTGGCGCAGTGGGCATCGATGCCGACACTGCGGCTTTTTTTCAGCAAGTTCCTTCCTTTTTGTTATATTAAGTGGCTTATTCACGAGTCGCTCGCATTAACAAAAACACTACACTAATATTCCTGCACAACCCCAATTTAGGACTTCAAAGAAACCGGCTCTTTAGAACGAACGACTCTTTTTATGAACTTGGCCAATCATCCGACGTAAAAACTATTCTTATGCAATAACTTTACTTTACTTTTACTGGTGCTCTCATTTCTCAGTATTGAGCGTATTATCACGCCGCGACTCGCCCTTACGGCCGCTGAGTATCTGGCCTATCAGTGTGAAAAACATGTATTGGTGATCCTAACGGACATGACGTCCTACGCTGAAGCCCTTCGTGAAGTTTCTGCTGCAAGAGAAGAGGTTCGACTGATTCTAACCAATTAGATTCTTATGCTTACTGTATGGAAGGTGCCGGGGCGCAGAGGATTTCCAGGGTACATGTACACGGATTTGGCCACCATTTACGAAAGAGCAGGACGCGTAGCCGGGCGAAACGGCTCAATCACGCAGATACCCATTCTTACGATGCCCAACGACGGTTTCATTTCCTTTATGTTACCGACGGGGTCGCCATTATTGTTAATATCATCATACCTGTCTTCTAAGACATCACACATCCTGTACCGGACCTGACAGGATACATCACAGAAGGGCAAATATATGTGGATAGACAACTGCATAACAAGCAGCTCTACCCACCAATTAACGTCCTTCCATCGCTCTCCCGTCTAATGAAGTCGGCGATTGGGAAAGGTATGACCAGGGAGGACCATGCGGATGTTTCTAACCAACTGGTACACAAACCCTAGCGTGTGTCACCTATGCTTACAAGATCATTGTCTGTGCAGTATGCGAACTATGCGATTGGTCGAGATGTGCAGTCTATGAAAGTTGTGATGGGCGAGGAGGCGCTAAGTGCCAAAGATCTGCTCTATCTCGAGTTCTTAGAAAAGTTTGAGACCCTGTTTGTGAATCAAGGTGTCTTGATACTAATGGCCAGAACACAGCTCTTCGCGTTACTACTTCATTATATTTTGGTCAGGCACTGAGGAAAGATCTATACTAGAATCTCTCGATATCGGCTGGTCATTGCTTCGTATATTTCCTCGAGAAATGCTTAAAAGAATCGACCCCAAAGTTTTGGACCAATACTACGCTGTAAAATAAAGCCACTGACCGCTTTTGATTTTCTATTACTCTCAATATGATTGTATTTGTGTTTTGATTTGAATATAAATTTTCTGGGCACACTTTAATGGTAATATTAATTTAATTTAAAAAAGTTTAGAGGGAAGAGCATCTTCACCTTTAGAACACGCGTTATATACCTTAGCGGCTGAGAATCAAAAACTTTGGTTAATATAGATTATAATAATATTTAGATAATAAAACTTTTATCAAGTTGTAAAGTAGTATGTACTTTTTTTCATATATTTATAGAAGAATTTAAACAGGATATTAATTTTTTTCTCAAAGGTTCAATTGTACCTTATAAATTTATTTTTCTATCATTTTCCTATTTAAGGGTTTTGTTCAATATTTTTGAGGTGTTGGAGTCGACTCTGGAAAGTCACGTGATTAAAACACGTGATACATTATATTAGTTGCCTATATACCACATGTCTGTACCACTCTGTTAGTGTATCGCCTGGCTCTGCAGTGCTTTGTTTTAGAACTACTTTCTTATGGCCTCCCTGAAGGTATATACTAGGGCCGCCCGGCGGAGGGTGAGTTTCGTCTAGAAGGGGAGATTAAAAAAAAATTGGACTGTATGTGTACACACATAATGCTAGTCGCTGACGTGTCAAATTTTATTATGATTAATGTAACAGTTATTGAGTAAACGTCAAACAAACACTTCTTGCAAAACCTCGTCAATTTAAAAATTCGAATATCATGCGATGAAAAAGTACCTTATAAAATAAGGTAAATGTACCAAAGAAACTAACGAGGGATTAATAGCCACTTTTCCAAAATGTGCTCCATCATATGCAATTGGCAAAAGGTAATACTCAGCTGTTCATAGAAGGACGAAAACCAATTAAAGACACCCTCCCAGGACCGTCTTGTACGGTTTTTACGGAAGAAAATATTAAAAGTGCAAAGAGTAGTCTTCAAAGACCGTTTGTGTTCGGGTTCGTGAGATAGCAGAAGAAGTAAAGATTAGAAAGGATAGTGTTGAACAAATCCCTTATTGTCATTTACGAAGGATCATGGTGAGCGCGCGTTGGGTACTCAATATTTAACTCCGCTAAATCGGGCACGAAAAATAGTAAGTTCGCGAGAATTTCTTCGTTTATGTAAGAGTAACTGCGATGCCATTTGACATCGCATATTAACCTGGAGGAAACATGGATTAATGAGTACCAACCAGAATCCAAACAAGAGCCATACGATGGATATAAAAGGAAGAAAAGCTACCGCGCAAGTTTAAGGTTTCAGGAGTTGCTACTAAATTTGTGGCAACGATATTTTAAGATAGCGCAGATATACTTTTGGTGGATTACTCTCTAGAGGAAGAGTGATGAACGAGCAATATTATGCTGACTTAATCATATAAGTTCGACAAGCCTTTATTGAAAAAGGCGGGGGTGAACGTGGCATAGGAAGTTTCCTATTACAAGACAATGTGCCGGTGAATACAACTCAAGTTGCAAAGCGTGCTAAACGAAATATAGGCTTTGATGCGGTTAACCATCCACCTTATAGTCCAGAACTGGCTACAGCAGTTTTTACTTGTTCGAGATTTATTAAAAAAGTTACGTGTTAATAGATTATCCGATAAAAAGTAATGAGGTCGGCTGCAGATTAACACTGCAGAAAAATTTTAAAATATTTTTTGCGGGTAAAAAGCAATTGCACGGTCGATGTAAAAGGTATATTGGAAATATTAAAAAATAGAATTTTTAAATTGTCTTACTACCCTATGCTTATCCCCACCGAACAGCCCTCGTATACCTTTCCTCTCCGAGGCGATAAATAGATAGCTCCTCCTCCTTTTCTTCGTTTGTAAGAAGACATCTCAATATTATTATGTGTTGTTTTTATGTGAGCCCTTTTGAGGCCAAGTGTTCCGATCGCTCATCTACAGAGAACTAAATAGTAACTAAATGCTTCCCTGTTCATAACTATAAAGTATTGTTAATAACAATTATAGGTACCATTTCCAGACTAACTAGCTAAGAACTGTTATATGTTCGACTGCTTCTCTCATCACGCTAACTTAGAGGCAGAATCTTCAAATTGATGCCATTTAAACCCATGAGAAAGTTGTAACCTATGACTGGAACTGAACTATAATAGTAATTTTTTTTTAACAAATTTTTACGATAGTTGCTGTAGCTTAAAAAAAAAGTTTTAATTCTAATAAACATGCCACTATTAATAACGAGGTTCAAGGTTAAAATACTGCATTATTTTTAAACCAATATTTTTACTGTATGGTGGTCCTACTTTAGGACAAGTTAAGATTTTACAATCTTTTTCGCTATGGTACGTTAAAACACTAATATGCCTAAAATACAAAGTAGTAGTACGGCAGGTTCTCCTTCGTAGTTATGATCTTTTAACCTCCACTTGCCTACAAAAAAATAATATATGGTTACAACGCTAAGGTAGGCAGTGTCACGTTCGGTTTAGTTAAGCTAGTACTGTAAATTGAAGTTTAAGTTATATGCAAATTTTTTTAAGGTCTAATTGTGCATGGGAATTAATGGCTTCCACCACTGTTTTTTCTCTTACTTATTTTCAGATGCTAGGTTTCTCAGTTGGCTCCAAAGTTATTAAATAAATTATTAAAGAGCTTCTCGATATTTTGAGATGCATATACACTTCGTTCTTTAATGATATATAAGATCTAAAATCTTTAAAATATTCTATAAACTACCTATCGCTAAGCTAAGCAAGTTATTTTACTACATGCACAAATTGCACAACTAAAAAATGTAATCTTTCTTTTTAAATTTTGCTGATTTGAAAATTTAAATTAAAATTTAAATATAAGTAACTACATTAATTATAAGACAATTATAAAAAATAGAACAGAAAAGGAAAACCACGGAGACAACAAATGACACCTAAACGATGCAGAAAAATGAATGAAACTCGAGCTTACCCATGAGCGTAGAAAAATGTAATTTTTAGCAAAAGCAAGGTAAAAGTAAGTAGATTGGTACATGCACCCACTCAGTGAAGTAAGTGAGAGCTACACTGAAAGAAGAGAAGAGATATAAACGAACGTGGCCAGAAGTACTTTTATTTCTGTTTTATGTGTTTGTAAGTACTGTAATAGAAAATAGTGATCCAAGGTAGACCAAATGAAGCCTAAAAAACGTCAACTCTTGTAAATATTTAATATTTAAAACAGACTATGACGCCTAGCTTTTTAGAGGTCTCGGAAGTTTTTTAAATTAATTTGTGAAGGCTTGTTACCTTAAGAACCGAAAAACCATACTATCCTTTGAAGGTAGTAAAATAACAAATTAGAGTTGGACATTACTAATTTAAATTTTTTTAAAAATTATAACTAAGAGCACTGTTTTTTGATCAACATTATAACTAATAGACAGAGATAAGGAAAAAGCATTTTTTTTATTGAACTTAGGACTGGTGGTGTTATGAAGTTTTTCCTATAATAATTGTACTTAGCGTAACTATACGCTAATTTTGTAACTAAGCGACTTAAACTATATTTTTACTAAATTCATTTGTGATAAGTTATGCTATTAATAATGCTTTTCAGTAACATCTTTTAAAGGGTATATAAGTCAAAGCTCGCTCTTGGCCTAAACAAAATCTGCCAACCCCTTTATAAGAGCTACTAATTCGCGCAACTTGACTGTTAATCGTGCTTCTACGATCTAGTTTTTTAACTATCTATTTATTAGTTCGGTTTAGACGTCTTATCTATCTGACTAACCCCTTTAGGTGTTTTTTATTTTCGAATAATACTATAGCCATTTACTGTTTTAGCTGTTTACTTTTAGCCAAACAATTATCTATACAATGTGTAAGCTGTTCTTAATAAAAAAGTAACTTTGTCTCTTAACAGACGAGCCACTTACTTCCAGCTGAACCCCAGTCACTATCCCATATTCTATTTCTCGAGATTCGAGAAAAGACCCAAGCAGTTCGATATTATTATTATCCGGTTCCCCGTAAACCAGTGATTCCCAACTGTGGTTCATGAACCATAGATGGCCCGTTAGACATCAAAAAGTGGACCTCGAAATCATCATAACTAAAAAGGGGCAATAATGTCAGTTTTAAAGCGTTGAGCCGAGCATTTGGCAGAAAACACATACAACTTCTAAAACGTCTGTTTAAAAGTAGGAGCGTAAACTTCCAAAAACGATTAAATGTGTAACAACTAAAGGGAGCTCGAGCCCGGTAAGAGACGCACATTCGCTGCGTATATAGTAGTTTTTCGGATTGGAGTGAGACGTGCAGTGTGTGAGCTATTTGCTTTATTTGTTAACAGTTTTGCATTCTAAAAATGGCACCGCCTAAGATAAAATATGGCTACAATTATCTTAATTATGGATCCATTGCCACTGAAGATAGGGAAACGTGCCTCAGTATGTGATATGTAGAACTATTCTCAGCCAATGATGCTTTAAAACCCATAGTTGGAAAGTCATTTACGAGGCGTTCATCCTAATTTAACTGATTGGCCGTGAGAATTTTTAGTTGAAAAATAAGTAAACCTTAAAAAAATGAAGCTTGGAACAAGTGGTACAAGATTTGGGTCGTCTCAAAGTGCACTGTCTACGTCTTTCTGAATTGCGCAATTAAAGGCAAAGTCCACAAAAACACACAATTATTGAAACATTAGTAGAGCCTTGACTGCTAAAAGCGGTGGAAAAAGTTTAAGGTGAGCAGGCTAAAAAAAAAATTTAAGAACAATACGGTAAAAACGCGAAATGGAAAGGCGTCGTACGAAATTGAAGAACAACTTTAGGTAAAAGTGAAAAATTCACCTTATTTTGCCTTACAGTGCGCACAGAAGACCGACGCTATACAGTGTTGCCAATTACTGATCTTTGTAGGGTTTTGAACAAGGATAGAATAATTAAAAAGGTTGAGAACTTTAAACTACTTCAAAGGGATGGATGTAATGAAAATAATAAGAGATTATCATGAAAACACGATATTCTGTTAGAAAAAGTTAGCTAGCTTCTGTACGGATGAAGCTACCGCTGTGCTAGGATTAAGCTCCTGTCTAGCAACGTTTGTGAAAGAAAAAATTACAGAAAGTAAAAACACACTGTAGGATTCACCCCTAAGCACTAGCTTTAAAAAAAGGTTGCCGTAATCGGTGAACACCATGAAATTGGCGATACCATCTTGAATGCAGTCTAAAACCGTGTGCTTTATACGCAAATTAGAGAAAAATTATGCTTTTATTTGGACCTCCAAGAACGAAACACTACTTTTCCATACTGAGGTTCGTTGACTAACGAGAGGAAATGTTGGGAAGATTATATGAGCTGTGGGAAGAGCTAATCGTTTTTTATTTAAGAAAGAAATGACCGAATTGTGGGTTTGTAACCCAAAATTTGAGAGGCGATCGGCCTAACTTGAAGACACTTTGGACACTTGGGCAAACTTAATTTGTAACTACAAAAAGGTTCTGGCAATAAGAAACTGGAGGGTCGCTCAAACATCTCTTCGTGTCCAAAGACGAACTTCGCGCGTTTATTTGCAAACTCGAGCTTTGGATAGGAAAAATTGAAGCAACAAATAATTTTGCGTTCCCAACGGTCAAAACTTTTATTGACGACGAAAAATTACTAGCATACCACAGCCGAAGCTCCATGAACTTAATGAGTTTACAAGGTACCTTCCGGTATATAATATTGTCGAGACGGAAGCTGTTCAAAATTTAATTTAAAACCCATTCAGTGGCAGAAGAGCTCCTGCTGAATTCTAAAAAGAAGTCATCGAAATGCACAATGGTAGCAACTACAAATATGCTTAAGTTAGGCATAACCTCGAAAAGTTCTGGTGCAAAAAAGCAATCTCATACCTCGAGACAATCCTTCCTGGCACCTTGTTAGATTCCGACAACTTTTTTGTGCGAAGAGGTCTATTCCAATCTGCTTCTGATCAAAAAAAAACAAGCAAAGGAATCGTTTGGACGCTATCGGTGACATGCGTGTAGCTTTGAGCAGCAGTACTAGTCCCCGAATTTCGCAACTAGTAAATAAATTGCAAGCGCAAAAATCTCAATTTTTTTTTTTTTTAACATGGAGTATTGCATTGTTATACTATGTATTTAACAACCAATGAACTAATCATTTCTAATTAGATGAATTTTTCAAAAGGGGGTCCACGATACTTCATACCTTTGCTCTGTGGTCCTCTGCATTTTAAAGGTTGGGACTACTGCTTTAAACTCTGTCGACGTGAGTTAATTGGTTGCTATTCCAGCTATTATTGTTGAACAACTTTTTGTAGCTAGTCCCCATTAGTTTCTAAAAAAAAAGTGCTGTTGATTTCAAGATTCCAAGTGGTTTTGCGGTACTCTCAGTTTATTTTTTTTTATTTTACTAGATTTCACTCATATGTCTAATCTTCTGTGGTTACTTAGGTTCTCTTCGGTTTCTATAAACTATTTTACCTTCTAATATAGTGATCAAGTTTTCCCAAATTTTATTTAACCAAGCTTTTTTAAATTTTGCATCCTGTTGTTTACATTTCCGCCTTCTGACTTTTACTTATTGGACTCTTATCTTTAAAGAAACAGTACAAACAGATTTTGGTATCATTGAATGCAACAAGTTCAGTGAAACTGTAGTACGAGGCCTAAACTTATTTAAAGAAAGTAAAAGAAAGGAGCACCAAACTGTAATAAGTTATAACTATATATAGCAAAAAATAAAATATTAACTAATATTTGCATTATTCGTTGTAACTCGTTTAAAAAATACACAACTAGTTGTCAACTAAACTATACACATGCCTTAAAACGCGTATGTATGAAGGCCTTCTCTAAGAGGTGCATTTATGAGATAAAAATTGTAGCGGTGGCATTGTTTAATATAGAGAAAGCCCTCAGATAAGCAAGGATGAGGGTGTATGTTTAAAGATTAAACCTGCTTACCAATTTATTAGATTCTTATTCACTCATTTCATTGGCCCAACTCAATTAGGAATCTTTTTGCGGTGTTCACAAAACTTTTTTTTCCTCTATTTTTTCTACCTACATGTGTTCTAACCATTGAGCTACGGTGACAACCCACATCTTCTTTCGGTAAATTACATATACAACCTTGGTTAAACCCTTATTTTTTTAAAAATCTTACCCCCTTTGCTAGGTGAGGGTTTACTGCCTTTAGTTCTAGTGCGATCGTGCTTATTATATATGCCTATCCTACATGCGGTCGGTCAAATATCTAGATGTTCTATCACTCTCTGTTAATTTACAAAATATTTGCTTTAAACCCAACCTATAAAATCCCCCTCTAAGGAGCCAGCCGTAGACAAGGGCAAAACATTTAACAAGCATTTAAAAGTAAAAAAAAAACTGAAGGATAGAAAGCCTTTCTGCTTTTTGTTTTTTATATAAAGGGTTAGTTATCGCCCCCACAAGCGTGGCCCCACTAGTTGGATGGGGCGCCTATAATTATAGAATTGATATAAGGAGAGCTAACGGTTTTATGTACTATTCTGCTACTGCACTCAGTAGGCAAGGCTGAGAGGATCTGGGCGTGCAGTTTATAAAAAGTGATACTACGTAAATAATAATTCTTAAATTCGCACAGAAACCACGCACTCCTGCTGGACAGAAGTAACATTCCATAGTGAAGCTCTAAAGGCCTAAAACGCTTAATCCCTGTTTACCTATCAGGTAGTCGCCATATAATATTAATAGTTACAGTTAGTTTCAGATGCTATAATAGTTACTATTCACTAATAAATATGTAACAATGTTATTATTATAACCTTTACTCCCAGTATTAATTTTTTATTATTATAAATATTGCTAATAGTATAACTATTTAGTATTATTTATATTATTTTTATTATTAGAATTATGGATTCCCATGAGCATGCTAGGGGCCTTTAATTGCTGTAGTAGATTAAATCGTAAGCTGTAGCTTAGGGCAAAAGTAAAAAAAATTTGGCTAGGTACTAAAATCCGACATTTATTTAGTGATGAATAAGAAAGTCATTGACAGGCTCAATTAAATAGTCTTAGCGTAAGTTACCTTTACTAACTGGCGAATGGCACCCCGGTTAGCATAAGAAGGAAGTTGTTCTGTAGGGTTTGAAGTCGATTAATTCTGGCAACTGAATAGACTAACGCAATTGAAGCGTAACTAAGTACCGTTCTAACCAGGAGTTTGTGTAGTATCAGCCTGCTTTTAAGGCTCTTCTTACCTTTTTTCTTAGAGAAAGTGGTAGAGAGTTTTTTAGAAGCTTTCACTTCATTAATGACGTGGGGTGGTGTGGGCTTACCAATTTAGTTTGACCAACACGCCGAGGTCTTTAAAATGCGCGCTTTGAGGACTATCCGTTTGTAACATGGTAAAATTGGTAAAAGTTAAATAAAACTGAAGTAAACAGTTAAGTGAGGCGTGGAGATTTAATGTAGTTAAATGTTTACGCATCTCATTAGAGAAATCGTTATTGCCTGTTGCCTGTTGATATGGAGTATCTGCAAAGTTTTGTAAACCAGGTGTTGGCGGGATGGTCCTCCTACAGTGCCCAGTTAAATAAGTTAGATTAAGCAACCGCGGTATGCCTTTGCGCTGAAAGTATTTTAAAGTGGTAGATTTCATTTACCTAACTTAATTTAAAAATTGAATATATATATGTAATATTCATTGTAATCTTAATAAATCTATTGCGCTCTCGACGTCCAAACCGCCAAGGGAAACTTACGTACGCAGGCATTTCATCCCTCCGCGTGGCAAGGATGTAGACGGAGAACACTGTCAATTGGAAAAACACGAATCGACTTCTACCGATGGTGGGAGCGCATATACCAAGATGTGATCGACAAAAGCTCTTGGAATTAAAGACGGTAAGAGTATTCGAGTCGGACAGTGCCACCGCTATCAGTTTCTTGGACACAGCGCAATTTACTGCACTGCGGCCCTCCGTTGCGTCAGATGTGCCAAGGGTCACTAGATTTCACAGTGTACGAAAGCACGAAAAAGTC